CCACCTTCTTGCCGGTTTGCTAATGATCTTCCACCGTGCTTGTAGAATACCGAAAGCTCTCTCAACATCTTTCCGGTATGCCTCTTGGTGTAAGGTAAACAACTTTTCTGCGTCATTCCTAGGGTTCGGAATTGCTTGGACAAGTGTCACCCACTTTGGGTAGATGTCATCTGCCAAGTAATACCCCATATTGTATTGACGACCGTTGATGTAATAGTTAAGTTGAGGTGCTTTACCTTCCGTCAAGTTATTGAAGATGGGTGAACGCCCAAGAACTGTAATGTCATTTTGGAATCCAAGGACTCCAAAGAAAGCATGCCAAATCCATGTGTCATATGAGGCAACTGCCTCTAACACAACAATTGGCTTTCTTGACCTTCCGCTAAAGCCTCATTGCCATCCAGTGAGACATTTCTTCCAATCCCAATGCATGCAGTCTAATGACCCTATCATGCCTGGAAACCCACGGTCTTCAACTTTGCAAATGAGCCGATTCAGATCTTTTTGATTTGGCTCGCGGAGGTACTCGTCTTTGTAAACCAAAACAATTGTGTCATATAATTGTTCAAGAGTATCAAGGCATGTAGACTCAGACATACCATGGGTTTCATCATCGAATCAGCTGGGGAACCATAGGCCATCATTTGGAGTGCAACGGTAACCTTCAGATGAGGTGAGAAACCAGGGCGGTCTGCTCTATCCCGCTTCTGTCCAAAGTACGGATTAACCTGCTGGACATCACGAAGTAAATGCTCGAAGACATGACGCCTCATCCTGAAGCGACGTATGAAATCCTCTTCTGTGTACACCGTGTTGAGGTTGAAGTAGTTGTTTATCAGATTGGCATGCGTCATCGCTCTGTTTCGTGGTTTGTAAGAGCGACCAACAATAGAGCCACTCCATTGAGGTTGTTCCTCAGTTGGCTGACACACCATGGCTGCAGCTATGGCTGCTGCTCTGTTTTGTTTGTTGCGCCTTACTTGAATTTCTTCATCAGACTCCTCATCTTTTCGTCTCATTTGCGCCCATTTTGCTTCTCTTTTGGAATTGGATGAGGACCTCCAGTTGGAATTTGAAGAGGATCCAAAGTTGGAATTCATTGCAAACTTGAATTGAAAGAGATTGAATTGAAATAGATTGAATTCAAAGTTGTGTGAATTATATCCCAATATCCACCCTATTTATAGCAAAAAAAAATTCAAATCCAACGGCTAGCTGACGTCGCTTAGTCGTTGGATTTGAATTTAAGTTGTAGTTTTTAAATAATAAATTATGTTTGGCCTTATGGTCCTTTGACCCTTGGTTGGAGACAGTTTTTTGTGACAGGGCTAAAACGAGCCATCTGGCCCTCCGTTAGAGACGGAGGCAAATATGGCAATGTACTGTTTATTAAAATATTAATATCTTGGATGATCTTTGAGGGCCAGAGGGCTAAAACGAGCCATCTGGCCAGCCATCGGTTGGAGATGGCCTAACCCTCCCACCCGCCTAGCCATATGATAAAGCCCAGTTTTGAAATTCTCACCAGTGAGAACCCAACCCCAATCCACGCATTGTAAAGGATTAATGTACCTTTTTTCTAACATATGGCATTTTTTAATGGATGCTAACTAGAACTTTCTAGTCGTTCCCACACTCCAGCACTCTCCCTTTCTAAATCTATACAACTTAATAGTAGAATACGCTTTGTCAGTTATAAACCAATGAAAAATACTATTATATCCTTCTATGCATAATTGAAAGAAAAAATTTGAAAAGAAAAAACATGAGCATTAGAGTAATTTTGCACAAAATAGTTTTTGTTTTTTTTTTCTTCTATCACCCATATGTCACCAACTCATATTTCTCACCACACGTCACCTAGTTTCATGAGATTTCGAAGAAATTGAATCAAAATTTTACATAGAAAGATTAAGGGTAAAAGACTGTTTACTACCCTCATGTTTCGTGGTTTTCAACATTTAGTACATCAAGTTTTTTTTGTCTCAGATTCATACCTAAAGTGTAAATTTTAGGACAGTCTCATACATCAGTTAGTCAAACTGTTAAATCTGCCGTTAATTGTGACGTGGCGCCTATGTGGACAATGACTGGGCGCCACATGTCATCCACGTTTTTTTTTTCTTCTTTCTTCTCCCTTCTTCTTCTTCCTCCGACTGCAACTTTTTTTTTATTTATTTTTTCTTCCTCCTTCTTCCTTCCCCTTCTTCCTTCTTCTTCCTTCTCCTTCTCCTTCTTCTTCTTCTTCCTCCGAATCTGGGGAAGATTTTTTTTTTTTCTTCTTCTTCTTCTTCCTCTGAATCTGGGGAAATTTTTTTCTTTTTGCTTCTTTCTTCTTCTTCCTCCTCCTTCTTCTTCTGACTGCAATTTTTTTTTTCTTCTTCTTCTTCCTCATTCTTCCTTCTTCTTCTTCTTCTTCTTCTTCTTCCTCCGACTGCAACTTTTTTTTTTCTTCCTCCTTCTTCTCCTTCTTCCTTCTTCTTCCTTCTCCTTCTTCTTCTTCATCTTCCTCAAAAAAAAAAAAACCTTCATCTTCCCTAGATTCGGAGGAAGAAGAAGAAGAAGAAGGAAGGAAGGAAGAAGGAGAAGAAGGAAGAAGAAGGAAGGAAGAAGGAAGGAAGAAGGAGAAGAAGGAGGAAGAAAAAAAAAGTTGCAGTTGGAGGAAGAAGAAGAATAAGGAGGAAGAAGAAGAAAGAAGAAGAAAAAAAAAAAAACCGAATCTGCAACCCAGATTCGGAAGAAGAAGAAGAAGAAGAAGAGGAAGGAAGAAGGAGGAAAGAAAAGGAAGAAGGAGGAAGAAGAAAAAAAAAACCACTTCCCCAGATTCGGAGGAAGAAGAAAAAGAAGGAGAAGGAGAAGGAAGAACAAGGAAGAAGGAGAAGAAGGGGAAGGAAGAAGGAAGGAAGAAGGAGAGGGAGGAAGAAAAAAAAAAGTTGCAGTCGGAAGAAGAAGAAGAAGAAGAAAGAAGAAAGAAATAAAAAACGTGGATGACACGTGGCGCCCAGTCATTGTTCACATGGGCGCCACGTCACAATTAACGGCAGATTTAACAGTTTGACTAACGGATGTATGAGACTGTCCCAAAATTTACACTTTAGGTATGAATCTGAGACGAAAAAAACTTGATGTACTAAATGTTGAAAACCACGAAACATGAAGATAGTAAACAGTCTTTTACCTAAAAATTAATTAAACTCCATTAAAATATCTCAAATTCTCAATTGAATACACACCCTAAATTTTCTTGGTTCATTTTGTGTAAAGTATACAATATAAAGATGTATAATGTCTCTTTGTATGGTTAGAGACTCATTGCAAACTACAAAGGAATATATACAATGGCTAAAAAATTATGAACAATAAATATTGTTTAACAGCTACATTTCAAATTATATATACTAATACCCAAAGCCCAAAATCACTGGTATGAACAGTGTAAAGACGGCATTCCCCCCTTTTTCTGTTTAAATTGTTCTGTCTTTTACTGTGCATGTCGTCTCCTCTCTGTTTGGTTGACCTTTTTCACTGCCTGATAACCCTCGCTGCCTTTTCTCTCGCTCACAGCCATCGCAAGACCCCCCCTCAAACCTTCAAACCAACAAATTCAATTTCGCAATCTCTCACACCTAATCTAAACCCTCAAACCAAAAACTCGATTTCAAATACCAAGCGACTACGTTTTGGGTATTGGAATTCGCACGAATTGTTTCCAGCCCGACGCAAGTGCACCGTCTCACCTCTCAAAGGCCGATCTTTCTCAAAACTGCCATTAGAGCTTCAAACCCGAGCGTTGCCGCCAAGTCTTCTTCTCCGGGACTCTACTTCGCTAAGCAGTACAAACTCACGGTTCCCAACGTCGACTTGGTTCTAGAGGACATCCGCCCCTGTCTCATCGCCAATGGCGGTAACGTCACAGGGGTCAAAGTGACCAATGACATGGGAATTTGTTTAATTTTATCAAGCTTTGTACTGAGGTAAAACTTCCCCCATTTAGCATCGTTTTAAATATTGATTAGTATATAGAGTAAACTGCCGATTTGTCCCCTGAATTATCACCCAACTTTCGATTTGCCCCCTGAACTTTTTAATTAGAAAATTAAGGACTTAAACTAATTTTTTTGGCCGATTTCCCCCCTACTGTTAGTTTTTCATAAATTTCATCCAAATTAACATTAACTCTTATCATGTGCAAACCACGTAACTCTCATTTGTGGACAAAAGCGTCATTTCACTAGACCTTAAGACAGAAAAGCTATAAAATCACACATATTTGCATCGTTTTATATTTTAGAAATCTAAGGTTTTCAATTATTTTAAAGAATGAAGTGACCGAACTACCCACACATGTTGTGCATATGCTTCCATTTAACAGAAATTTGGATGGAATGAATGAAAAATTAACAGCAGGGGCAAATTGGCCAAAAAAATTAGTTTAAGTCCTTAATTTTCCAATTAAAAAGTTCAGGGGGCAAATCGAAAGTTGGGTAATAGTTCAGGGGACAAATCGGCAGTTTACTCTTAGTATATATATATAACAAAAAAATTGTATAAAAAAATACTGATTAGTATATTTGTAAATAAGAGTGGTTAGCCTACGATGGGCTTGCTAAATAATTAGTATATTCAATATAAAAATATGCTCAGATCCAGTTAATAGAGAAATTTTTAGTTATAACGGGAATGCAGATGGTACACCACGTATTTTTGTGCAAATGGTGGAAAATTTTAATTTTTAAATTATTAACATTTTAACACACATAACCTATTATTTATATAGGGACACGTGATGTACCACCTCGTGTAACGGTCACACTGAAAAATCTCTCCAATTAATACACATTCAATTGAAAAAATAAATAAATTAAGATACAATCATACAAATAAACTAATCAATAAAGACTCAAACTCCGAAGTTCGAAGGAACTAGCTGTACTTCTGTTTTTATAAAAGGAAGTGCTTATTAGGTTATGGAACTCAAGCTGTGTGGGAGCGACTAAAAGATGACCACTTCAGAGATCAAGGTTGAAGTCATCCACAAGGAAACAATTAAACCATCCTCACCAACTCCTCGCCACTTCAAAACCCTCAAACTTTCTGTCTTTGATCAGATTGCTTCCGATCTTTACGTTCCGCTTCTGTTCTTCTATCGACGCCATAATTCTTCAGTCCCTTCTGCTGAAATATCCAATATTCTAAAAACATCATTATCTAAAACTCTAACTCTCTTTTATCCCTGGGCAGGCCAATTCCAATATAATGATTCAATCGGCTGCAATGACCGTGGGGCTGAGTTTCTTGAAGCCCAAGTCAACTGTCCGATATCAAAGATTTTGGACAATCCGGATGCTCATCAAATGCTATTTAAGCAACTTCTTCCAGCTGAGCATATGGGATTAGCAAGAGCTGCAGGATCAGGCAATCTTATACTAGTCCAGGCCAGCTTCTTTGAATGCGGTGGGGTAGCAATCGGGGCCAGTATTTCTCACAAGGTCGCCGATGCCATTACAGGCAGCACATTCATTAATACTTGGGCTGCATTTGCCTTTGGCTCATCAGTCGTCAGTAGTACTACTACTGGTGATCATCAAGAGGTGGTGAAGTTTCCCGCTCCAAAAATATTTGGTGTCCCAGCTTCGCTCTTCCCTCCACTAGATTTCCTAAACACACACCACCCCGTCGTGGAATATGCTAAAGAAAAGTGTATGACAAGGAGATTTCTGTTTGGTGCCTCAGAGATTGCTGCTCTCAAGTCCAAATCTGCAAGCTCCACCGTGCCAAATCCTTCATGCGTTGAAGTTGTGTCCGCTCTCGTTTGGAAATGCGCAATGGAAGCATCAAGATCAAACTCGGGTTTTATGAAGCCCTCCGTATGGTGCCAAGCGGTGAATATGCGTGAAATATTAGCTAAGCCCTTGGCGGACAAAAACTTATTGGGAAGTCTTGTGGGGTTTGTTGATTATTGACTCAAACATGTAGTCAAAGTCCAAATCTTTGGGCTACTTTGTGGTAATGGGAGGCAAACAACATTTGTGCCTAATTTGTGCCTAACTCTTTTGACTTGATGGTAGGCCTTTGGCCATTGATGTCTTTGAGAAGCTTTTCTTTGGCTATAAAAGGAGAGCAAGGTGCAGCTCATAAGCATGGAGTAGAGACAAGAGGACAACAAGGAAGAGAGAAAAATAGCAAGAAGCCATTCGGCATAGAGAAGAATTTTCTCAAATTGTCTTGCTTTGTATTTTTGGTTTTATCTTCCTATTGTAAGTGTGAGAGCTTGGGTTATTTGGGTCTTTGGGAAATTGAGTGATAAACACTATTGTATGTTCTCATTGATTATAGTGGAATACTCCGTCGTCTCCAAACTGGATGTAGGCATTGCCGAACCAGTATAAATCTTGGTGTTCTTGTTGATGTTGGTTTTATTTTGTTCTGTTTTACTTATTCACTTACAGTCGAATGCCGCTTCCGCACAACAAGTGGTACCAGAGCCCAGTTCCATGAATAGTGTTGGCGCTACAGTTCAGTGAACAGTGAACTGTTACAGTATCTGTGAACAGTATTGTACTTGTGAACAGTGCCGTATTTTTTAATAGTGCCGAGTAGATGGCTGGAGATAAAGACGAATCTGTAAATAAGGGGTCAACATCGTCTTCGTCTACATCCAATAGACATCCAACCACTACTACAAGGTTAGAGGTTGATAAATTCAATGGCTCTAATAATTTTGGTATGTGGCAATGTGAAGTTATGGATGTGTTGTATCAACAAGAGTTGGATATGGTTCTGGAAGATAAACCAGAAGATATTGATGACAAGCAGTGGACGCGAATTAATCTTCATGCTTGTGCTGCTATTCGATCATTCCTTGATAAGGAGTTGAAATACCCGTATATGAAGGAAACTTCTGCTAAGGAGTTATGGACCAAATTGGAGGAGAAGTATATGACCAAGAGCGCAGAAAATCGTCTCTTCTTGAAGAAGCGACTCTTCCGATTTCAGTATCGTCCAGGTATCTCTATGCACGAACACCTCAATGATTATAATAAAATACTTGCTGATTTAGCAAACCTTGATGTGAAAATTCCTGACGAGGACAAGGCACTATGTTTGTTAAATTCATTGCCTGATGATTATGATCATTTGACAACTACTCTGTTGTATGGAAAATCCGAGGTGAAACTTGATGAGGTGTCTGCGGCATTGGTGAATCATGAGTGTCGTAAGAAGGAACTGAAGACTCACAATTCACAAACCGAGACATTTGTTGCAAGGGGTCGAACAGAGGAAAGAAAATCTGGGAAGTGGGGAAAATCTCGTTCAAAGTCACGAGGGAAGTTTCCTGCTAAAGATGAATGTGCTTTTTGTCGCCAAAAGGGTCATTGGAAGAAAGACTGCCCCAAATTGAAGAACAAAGAGAAGGAGAAAGCGGGTTCTGAAGCAAATATTGCAAAATCTGGAGATGATGATGATTTCGAGTTTGCTTTGGCTAGTTCATATGCTGATGGTCACTCAAATGAGTGGATTTTGGATTCAGGTTGCACCTATCATATGTGTCCCATTCAGGAATGGTTTTCTAATTTCGAGGAGCTGGATGGTGGAGTTGTTTTGATGGGTAATAATAATGCCTGCAAAACACAAGGGATAGGCAAAATCTGTTTGAATATGCATGATGGAACAGTCAGAGAATTAAGTGATGTTCGGTATGTACCGGATATGAAGAAAAATCTCATCTCACTGGGTGCATTGGAATCCAAGGGTCTTAAGATCACCATGGAGGGTGGAGTTCTTAAAGCTGTGTACGGGGCACTGGTGGTGATGAAAGGTACAAGACGAAATAACTTGTATTTCTTGCAGGGGAGTACAGTTATTGGTGGAGCAGCTATCACCGAAGCTGCTGACGCAAATAGCACAGATACCACGAGGTTATGGCATATGCGTCTTGGGCATGCTGGTGAAAAAGCGTTGCAAGGATTGGTGAAGCAAGGCTTATTGAAAGGTGCAAAGGCATGCAAATTGGAATTCTGTGAGCATTGTGTGTTGGGTAAGCAAACTAGAGTAAAATTTGGCACTGCTATTCACCACACTAAAGGCATTCTTGATTATGTTCACACTGATGTTTGGGGACCTTCCAAGAATGCATCTTGGGGAGGTAGCCATTATTTTGTCTCCTTTGTTGATGACTTCTCTAGAAGAATATGGGTGTACACCATGAAGCGTAAAGATGAAGTCTTGAAGATATTCCTGAAGTGGAAAAAGATGATTGAAACGCAAAGCGGTCGAAAGATCAAGACTCTCAAATCAGACAATGGGGGTGAATATAAGTTTGATCCTTTCTTGAAAGTTTGTCAAGATGAGGGTATTGTGAGGCACTTCACGGTTAGGGAGACACCGCAACAGAATGGGGTGGCGGAGCGCATGAACCGTACTTTGCTTGAGAAAGTTCGGTGTATGTTGTCTAATGCTGGATTAGGCAAGGCATTTTGGGCTGAGGCACTCACTTATGCAAGCCATCTCATTAATCGATTGCCAGCGGCTGCGAATGAGGGAAAAACGCCCATGGAGGTATGGTCTGGTAAACCTTGTACTTATTACAAGTTTTTACACATATTTGGTTGTCCTGCTTACTATTATGTCAGAGAAAGCAAGTTTGATCCAAGAGCAAAGAAAGCTCTATTTATGGGCTTTAGCACTGGCGTGAAGGGATACCGACTCTGGTGTCCAGATGAGAAGAAATTTGTTGTAAGCAGAGATGTGACTTTTGATGAGGCTGCTATGGTTAATCAGAACAAGCATGAAGGTGAAACTGAAGCGACCGAGACCATGAGTAGCTCAAAGCAGGTGGAGTTACTGAAGACTCCAGTTGTTCCAGTAAGGTCTGATGTTACAACCACTAGTCCTACAGTTAATTCTGATGATGAGGACGAGGATGATGAAGAGGAAGCACTTACCCAAGAGCATCCACAACAACAAGACTATATTGCAACCAGAAGATCGAGAAGGGAAATTCGAAAGCCTGCTCGATTTACTGATATTGTGGCATATGCACTTCCTGTTATTGAAGATGATATTCCATCCGCCTACAAAGAAGCTGTCATGAGTTCAGACTGCGAGTTGTGGAAGAAATCTATGGATGAGGAGATGAAATCTCTTCATAAAAATGAGACTTGGAATCTGGTTCAGTTACCAAAAGGGAAGAAAGCAATTGGTTGTAAATGGGTGTATGCCAAAAAGATGGAATCTTTGGGAAAAGACAATGTAAGATTCAAAGCCAGATTGGTAGCTAAAGGCTACGCTCAGAAGGAAGGCATTGACTACAATGAGGTATTTTCTCCTGTAGTAAAACATTCTTCTATTCGTATTTTGTTGGCTTTGGTTGTGCAGTTTGACCTTGAGTTGGCCCAACTTGATGTCAAGACTGCGTTCTTACATGGTGATTTGGAGGAAGAGATTTATATGTCTCAGCCAAAAGGTTTTAAGGTTGCTGGAAAGGAAAATTGGGTTTGCAAATTGGAAAAATCATTGTATGGCTTGAAGCAGTCTCCAAGACAATGGTACAAGCGATTTGATCGATTTATGATCGGGCAAAAGTACACAAGAAGTCACTATGACCATTGTGTATACTTTCGCAAACTACAAGATGGAACCTTCATTTATTTGCTTTTATATGTTGATGATATGCTTATAGCATGTAAGAGCAAAGTGGAGATTGAAAGGTTGAAGACTCAACTAAGTAATGAATTTGAGATGAAGGACTTGGGAGAAGCTCGGAAGATACTAGGTATGGAAATTGAAAGAGATAGAGCGAAGGGCAAGATTAGTCTGTGTCAGAAGCAATATTTGAAGAAGGTACTACAACGTTTCAGGATGAATGAAAATTCAAAACCGGTTAGTACACCTCTTGCCTCTCATTTCAAACTTAGCGCTTCTATGTCTCATAAAACTGTTGAAGAGAGTCAGTACATGGCTCAAATTCCTTATGCAAATGTTGTTGGTAGTTTGATGTATGCTATGGTGTGTACTAGGCCTGATATTTCACAAGCTGTTAGTATTGTCAGTAGATATATGCATAATCCAGGAAAAGGGCATTGGCAAGCTGTGAAATGGATTCTACGGTATATTCTGGGTACTGTGGATGTTGGTTTATTGTTCCAGCAGGATAAAGTTATTGGTCAATGTGTTGTTGGATATGTGGATTCTGATTACGCAGGTGATTTGGACAAGCGTAGGTCCACTACTGGTTTTGTATTCGCTATTGCTGGAGGTCCAGTAAGTTGGAGGTCGATTCTGCAATCTACAGTTGCTTTGTCGACTACTGAGGCAGAATACATGGCTGTAACAGAAGCTATAAAGGAAGCCATCTGGCTTCAAGGGTTGCTTGATGACTTAGGGGTTCAACAAGACCATGTGGATGTTCATTGCGACAGTCAAAGTGCTATTCATTTAGCAAAGAATCAAGTTCATCATGCACGTACGAAACACATTGATGTGAGGTTCCATTTTGTTCGTGAGGTTATTGACGAGGGAGATATTCTTCTTCAGAATATGGGACCGCTGACAATTCTGCGGATATGTTAACAAAGCCAGTTTCATTGCACAAGTTTAAGCACTGCTTAGACTTGATTGGCATTTGTAAAATTTGTTGATTGCCCCATGGGGGATTGTGAGACGACTATTAGGAGTTCTACTTAGAGGGTTTGAGTCAAGGTGGAGATTGTTGATTATTGACTCAAACATGTAGTCAAAGTCCAAATCTTTGGGCTACTTTGTGGTAATGGGAGGCAAACAACATTTGTGCCTAATTTGTGCCTAACTCTTTTGACTTGATGGTAGGCCTTTGGCCATTGATGTCTTTGAGAAGCTTTTCTTTGGCTATAAAAGGAGAGCAAGGTGCAGCTCATAAGCATGGAGTAGAGACAAGAGGACAACAAGGAAGAGAGAAAAATAGCAAGAAGCCATTCGGCATAGA